GGGGGCGCGAAAAAATTGTGCTGCAGGGGTGGTGGTGATGGGGAGGAGGAGGAGGAGGAACTTTGTCGTGAATGTGGACGAGATGTGGGATGTTGGGGAAGATTGCCGTGATTGGGATTGGGTTGGTAATGTGATTGGAAGAGGTAATCATCGGGATCTGGAAGTGGTGGTGACGAGGATGTTGAAGAGGATGTCATTTTTTGTGTTTTGAGGTTTGGTGTGTTTAACGAACGCTAGATGGATTCCAGACTAGGAATCCTTGATTCCCAAAGGCTTGAATAATAAGCTCTTCCTCGTTATCCCGTCGTTATATCGTTCTATTTCCGGCGATCTTGTTTGCGAGCTCATAACCTCTCCCAGACAACTAAGTAGCGGCACACAATGAGCCAATTCGTATGTCGTCGGAATAATATGCATTAGTTGTGCAGTACCACATTGAGGACGCAGATGTTACTATGCTTGATTGTTTTTGGATATGCTGTGTATATCTTTGTAAATTACTATATGCACGTCGATAAAGTTGCATGTAAGATCTTACAGCCTTAGCACAAGGCTGAAGTGTCATTTTATTTTACTTTATAAGCTTACGTGCACCCTAGCTTCCCCTGTATTATGTAAGCCCTGCTAAGCTTTTTATACGAAACAATCCCATCGCCAGAAACACGCGGATTTTGGCATCATCATTTCTTTACGGAGACTACCGGTATGTTATTATTCCTCAATGGCCGCGTTAATCTGTTTAAATATAGATGAGCAACATTTCTCCGGATTCTAAAATTTGGTTTCCACCAGACAGGTTGTCATTGATGGGTCCACTGATTCCACTGAAAGGGCGTGCCAGATGCTCATCGGCAGTTGAAGATCCTGGAATCAATTTATATGAAATTATAATGTTCTAGCAATCTTCCATGACTTATATTGCGATATAGCGATGCTACACTCCACACTCCACATTGGGTATGGAAGAATCGAAATTACCGGTGATGTATTCACATGGTAATATGATGGAATGGTTCTAGAACTGATGTAAAGGAAAAGGAGTCCTTTCTTATATAAAGTCTAGCTAAGCCAAGTTGTTTTGTTGTTCATCATTCATTTGCACAGGTTTGCAATTCATTCATTCATTCAATTCTTCGCTTTTCTTCAAAGTAAGCAAATTCAAGCTTTTCTCCGTTTTTTTGCCGTCTTCTCTTGACAATATCATCACCTTCTATCAACATGAAGTACTCAATCGTTTTCGCCACCCTTCTTGCGGGTTCTGCTATTGCTGCACCAGCAACCAAGCTTAACGCTAAACAAAGACTTGCTCGGCGCCACAAGCACGCTGCTAGCGTAGAAGACGATTACAATGTTAGTTGGGCTGGTGCCGTTCTTACTGGTGCTGCATACACCGGTGTTTCCGCTTCTTTCGCCATTCCTAAACCCGCGGTTGGAACAACGGGCGAGACTTCCGCTTCGGACTTCACCGCTTCTAGCTGGGTCGGTATTGATGGATACAATTGTGACAATCTCTGGCAAGCAGGTGTAGATTCCACAATTGAGAAATCTACCGGTGCAATTTCATATTATGCTTGGTATGAATGGTATCCTGCCGGGACTCAAGTCATTGATCTAGGAACTCTCACAGCTGAAGATGTAAGTTATTTTCCCATCACAAAACGTCGACTCCAAACTCAAACTAACAAACCACAGGTCATCTCGGTAAATCTCACCACCAGCGGCTTCAACACGGGAACCGTCGTCATGGAAAATAAATCCACCGGCAAATCCTACACCAAAACCGTCTCCTCAACCAACACCCTCTGTGGTGTCAGTGCTGAGTGGATTATGGAAGACTTAAGCATCGATACCAACACCGAGGGTCTCGCAAACTACGGGAGCGTTGTCTTCACCGATGCAATCGCTACTACCTCCTCCAAGACAGTCAACCCATCTGGTGCGAACATCATGGATATCGAAACTACCTCCAATGCTATCTTGACTAAGACTACCGTTACTGATAACTCGGTTACCATTGCTTATGTTTAGAGTGTTTAGTCAAATACAAGGATTATTGATAATTAGATGGGATGTCAGTGTAGACAGAGGTTTCGATTCTTTTGTATATAGTTTTTATACTGTTTATGTATATATATATTGGAGCAATAATATAACTTGTACATACTGTCGATATCTCTCTGGAGTCTTGTTAAGTTATTGTTCTTTTGGATGTTTGCAAGCCAAATAAGAGTATAAGTTACCTAGGAGTTATATGTCCGGGTCAACTCAACCTTGAAACTTTGTTTCCTTAGTGGTCAGTTATACAATACTGGTTCACTGGTATTACTATTCAATAAATGTACAAGTTTAGCTAAACTTATATTTAAACATTTAGATGCTTTGAATTAGAGGAGTACCAATACTCAGAACTGCGGAATAAGATTCCTCGATGAGTCTCCTTGAAAATACCCGAATAGAGATTCTAGTGAGTCTATTTAAGAACCCTCAGCCACAGATCCAGCTTGATTATAACTATTTGGCGCTCTAGGAATCAACCGCCTATTGTTGTAATAAGGAAATACAGTATAATCCAAGAGAGGATTGTTTATTAAATAAAAATGTGGAAAGAAAAAAAAAAATCGAATTTTTAATATCGTTTAAGAGTGTATAAGGCTAGTATATAGTTAAAACTTGGAAACAGCTTCCCCTGACTACAACAATAGTCGGCTCGATCCCCAGAGCACTAACTATTACTGTTATATATAATTATTCTATATATTAGCATACAAACACAATAAATACAAATACAGCAAACTTTATCATGACTTTAATCGACTCTCCCACCTATCGATCGGTTCATCGATTGACGCTGGACACAACCAAGCTTCAGCAGGATCCTAATCAATGGATATCGATTCGTGACTTCTATTATATCGAGGACCTTTAAACCACAATTCGACCTCAAATCTGCTGGTGCGATTATACGCGGACTATAAACATGGCGAAATAGTATTTCTTTCGTCGCCAGAGCTTTCGATTCTTAGGCTCGAATTCTTCGTCGCCGACCTATTTCAAATCCGGGTGCACTGTGCACAGTTTGGATACATTGCCTGTTGTTTGTTGCTATCATATTCTCTTGGTTGTGAATCAGGATTCTTACGTTGTTTAAGACTTGTGGGGAGATTGTTCCTGTTTTCGTGTGAAACTAAAATTACGATTTGGGTGTCCCATTTTCGAATGTTGTCTCCGGGAACAATTTTTCGAGAAAATTGTCTTTCTCGTGCAGAATCGGTGTCGATAGTGTTATCCTTGATATTGTTAAGCTATAGGATTTAATGCTCGTGTAGCTTTTTAAGGGGTTTCGCTATACTTTTTTGATTATCTAGTCGATTTTCATCGTGGCCCATTTCTGCTTCTTATCAAACAGGTCAATCACGATGGTCTCTCCTACATACATGAATTTCTAGGCCGTATTCTTTACGACCCAGAACACCGTAACTAGCTCTCACTCTGTTCTATCCTGTCAACATAGGCGTGACCTAAGAAGTCTTCAAGAACCATACACTCTGGTTTTTAAAATCGCAGCTCCAACTTTTATTCTCTGCCATTCTGTCTATCACCACACCCTTCACTACTGAAAGTTCTGGCTCTTGAGATTTAAGAATTCTTATACGATGTGCTATTTAGTGAGGATTTCGTTGAAAGTGTTCTTCGATCTTGGTCTTGACATATTGGAAACCTCCAAGACCTCCACTCAGTACGAGGAATTTCTATACATTCTTGAGCGCAGGTCAAGGTTTCTTTCATTTCATTCTTTTACCGTTCTTCAATATAAGATCTTACTTAGCACATCATCCTGGCTTCTTTTTTTGTCTGCATCCAATCTAGTTGTTTGTCTATCTTACGTATACGTATTATGCCAGCAATCTGCACATCAAACAGAGCCTATATTTCTGACCTAAATTCTGTTAGTATGAACCATCTTGAATTTTATACTAGTCGCTTCGAAAATTGCATTCTATTCTTCTCAATTCAAAGTCCAGGATGCGTCAAATCTTTTTTGATCCCGAGCCCTCGTTTCTAGAGTCGCAATTGCTATATATACACAGCATGGTTACCAGAAGTCGCCCCGAAGTTTTGCTTGATAGACTAGAAGGATGAACCCCTAGCTAGTTTATGCGCTAGATTCTATAGAAGCTCTTTATCGGAGTGTGTATCCAACCGTTCTTGTACGAGAAGTTCGAATGCTTGGTCGATCATAGTTGATCCGGTACCAAAACCTTGGACTTTCGTTACTTGTTTTAAGGCTGGTCTTTCAGGGTTTGGGTCTGCTACTTCAACAAGACCAAGACTAATATTGGTAATTAATATTTTTTTACTTAACAACACTTGAAGTACATGATATATATTCGAATTGAAACCAAGTTAGTACTTACTCAGTCTTTCCACCATCTGCATCATAGATGAGAATATTATCTCCCTTATCAAGTTCAATCTCAGAATTTGTCGCAGAGTAAACTGCTGCTGCCTCAGCCTCAGTCAATTCCAATTTCGCCGAATGTTTATCTGAATTTTGAGATGTGAATCCTACTGCATATATCGCATCATTAAATCTATTCACCGTATCTAAAGTATTCCACTTGGTAGGAAGGCTAAAAACAAATTCAATCTTCTCTTTCCAAGTGCCAGTAATAACTTCTTTACACAATTCCACGTGTTTATAAATCTGGCGTAAATAATCCGTCATGAGATCTTTGGCTTCACCAACTGTTTCAGACATGTTTCTCACACCTCCTTTGCGAGCTAGATCCAAGCTTCGTTGATCCAAGTAGATCCTGAAATGTTCTCGCACTTCTGTGACTTCATGATATCCATCATCGGGATCACAGGAAAATCCCCACACTGGCTCATGCCTATCATTCGGATTGCGTGAATATGCAAGCTTGGTTGGGACTTTGGTTTCCACCGAGTCTGGGGGTAGACCGGGCCATTCTTGGATGCTTTTTGTGGAACTCGTGTTGCTCTGATTTGACCACACGATTACTGGGAAATATTTTCAGTATTTTGCGCATGCTCGGTGTATTGTTGTGGACTTACCAGTGTATGTTTGTCCAAAGTCAACTCCTACAGTGATGGGGCGTATTGGCGGAGATTGGTTAGCCATGGTTGAGGAGTTTGCAGGTGGGAAAAGAGGTGGAGAGGATGGTGGAGATGGAGTTTGAGAATGTGGAGTTGTTGAGAAAGGGAAGGAGGAAAGAGAGGAGTGAAGTCTCGATTTCGAAGGCGGGGAAGCATTTCGATAAATTTGGTGTTGAGGAGCTGGATATTGGTGGGGGCTTAGAGGTAGAGTCCCCGGTCGTAAAAAATAAGATAGTCAGAAAACCGGTGGATATTTCTACCGAGAGCCCTAAAGAGATCGGTGAACATAAGGGTTTAGAAGATGAGGATGCAGAAGTAGCTTTTTATAAATACTCGACAAGACAAGAAGAGGAAAGGCAGAAAAGAATAACCGGGAAGAGGAAGTTAAGCAATCTTGAATAGGAAAGCGTGTAAATTCTTTTCCCTTTGGTGGATATTGCGCCGTATCTGAGTGTCAATTTTTACTTTAAAACATTACAAAATAAAGATCATGCTGCCTCCAGGCATGTTTTGAATACTGCTGTGGGATAAGGTCACTGAATAGACCAAATCATAGCCCAACCTTCAGAATCATAAAACTAAAATTTCCCGAGAGGTTTTCCAGACCAGATGACTCGTGGTGAGGCAAGAACGGTGATGCATACTTTACCGATTTCGTTAGAGTACAGGCTGATTGAATAGCAGAAGCCCGATCACCACGATGCAAAAAGCCCACCGTGACGACATATCAGAAGAATCCCAATACGCTCTTCTGCAAGAATCAATATGTCACAGACAACGAGAAATAGAAGATAGAAGCAAATATTTTTGGAGTCGAGGGGATTCTTCTATTGAATTTGCTAGTGACTACAGTATCACAAAAGCTAATCTCTAAAGAGAAAAAAAACCAAATCATAAGCTCCCCTCAATCCCAAACTTCCTAAACACTATTACTAGATCTTCAACTACATATATCCAAATATTTTCAAATTCCCTAAAATGAAAATAAATTAACACTAATATAAAATTGCAACCTTAGACTATTTAATTAAAGTCCTTTTACAATCATAACCACAATCATAATCACTAAAAATCATAATCATAACCATCAAAAACTATCTATAATCGTCAAGAATCTGTTACGACGGTAATCAGTTATGACTAAAACCCGCATCACATGACTAAACAAGGGATCACGTGGTCCCACTCGTCCCACCGATTTAAATCGAGGGGAACGGTGGGACATACGGCACGAAGGTCTATATAATCAAGATGGATTTCCTTTGTATAGAGCTTCGTGCTCAAGATCAATCATTTAGTATACTCTACTATTAGTTACGAATTGCATTATTGTCATTACTTTAAGTCCCTGCTTGACGCCTAGTTATAAACCATCTCGAGAGCCTAGAGCACTTCCACGTGATCTAGACGGCAAACCTCGTAACACTTCCCCATTACAGTACAATCCCAACCTGGACCCCTCACAACATCCACACACGATTTCACAAAACGACGCCAAAGAAAAAACCAGTAAATTTTTTAACTTGACAAAATATTTTTAATAATCATACCAAGTAATTAAACCAGACAAATACATTAAAATCTAAAATCTGCATACATATATACATATACACATACATCCATAACTTAAAAATCTTAATCTTACAATCAAAAATGCCCATCCCAAATATATCAATGAACCCCCTCTAAATACCCTCATCCAAAAACACCAATTCTATCCCCATATCTACATACATACATACATACATACATACATACATGGTAACCAGTCCACCCAATATCTACAAAACACCCTATACCAGCGTAGAGCCACCATCTTCATCCCTTTTATAAAATTACACTCAGAAACCCCTCTAAAAAAGTTTTCCTAAGAATCCCAATTTTTCCTTAAGACTCTTCCCACTACTCTTCCTCACTCTAATGAGATAATACAAAAACACCGCCATGAAGATATTGAAAAAGATATACACAAACACGATACCGTAGTTTCTCCATCTCGTATCATAGCTAATGGATACGGAAGAGAGATATTGATCTGCGTTTGATGAAGAACAGTAGTTACAATCTGAAGTAGCTTCAGGATTATAGATGGAACCACCTGTGGCGTTAGCGTAGGATTGGAGATAACTTCCGCAGGTTTCGCCGGCAGGTGGTTGCATGATTGCGAGTTCGTTTTTGGCGCATACTACTTCGCGGCCGGAAAGACCGGTAGATACGATAGCCGAGACGAGATCTGGATATTTGTTAGTTTGTTTGTACCTTGAACAGCGATGAGGGGAAAACTTACAAGTCAAAGGTGAAACTCGATACATGAAAATCCAAAACCTGGGAAGAGCATTTGGAGGTTGGAAGACTCCGTTAAAGGTAAGTGTGAGTGAGAACATGAGCGTAGCGATGTTACCCGCGGTTTCCGCATCAGGAAGAGCAGCAATAAGCATATGAGCGAATGTACTAGCAAAGACGAAGAATTGAATGAAGAGTAGGAGAATAAGACCTTGACGACTTGATGGTGGAATACCGTTGCTGGTGTAAATTGGGTAGAAGTATGAGGCAAATACCATGATACCAAGAAGAATTTGATATGGAATTTCGACGACAATATTGGCGATGATGAAAGCTTTCCAGCTATAAGCTTTTGATGGTCTTTCACGAACCTCATAAAGATCTCTTTGAAGGACAAATCGAGGCATAATTTGTTGCACGAGGGTTGTGAAGATAGTTGTTATCATGAAGATTGAGAAGATAACATCTTGAAGACCTTGTTGAGATGCATCGGCGTGGAAAAATGAGAAACCAATAAAGAGTGCAGATGCGACACCAAGAACAAGCTTGGAGTATACATATCCAGGGGTACGCCAATATTGTTGGAACACACGCTTCGTAACTTCCAAAAGCTGAATGGTGAAGGGCATGGCGAATTCGTCTTGGGAACCAGGATCATTTTGAGATGATTGATGACCCAAGTCTTGTTCGATGCGTGAAATTTCCGTTTGAATAGCCTTTGCTTCATCACTAGCTTTCCATACTTCATGCCTATATTTGAATTAGCTTTTGTGGTACCGATAAACAGAATCCGTTCTTACCAATCTTGAGTAGATTTTCCTTGGGCTCCGGCACCAACCATTGTTAACATATACTCTGCAGGATTCTCATCCTCTCCACACTTCTCCGCACCATGAGATTCAAAATAGTTAAGTAAAGTCTCGGAATTGTGACCAATGTCTCCAAAGTAAACAGTTCTTCCACCCTTTGCTAAGAATAATAATCGATCGAATTCTTGAAACAGGATAGCACTAGGTTGATGGATAGTAGCCAAGACGGCCTGTCCATTATCGGCTAACTTTCTCAAGAAAGAGACGATTGCCCATGAAGATTGTGAATCCAAACCTGAGGTAGGCTCATCCAAGAAGAGTAAGAGTGCAGGTTTAGCAGCTAATTCGACACCAATAGTCAAGAGTTTTCTTTGCTCCACGTTCAATCCTTCTCCTGGGACACCAACGACTGCTTCTGAGAAGTCTTCCATATTCAACATCTTGATAACATCTTCCACGAAATCAAACTTTTCCTTCTTGGAAACAGATTTTGGTTGACGTAGCATAGCCGAGAATCGAAGAGCTTCCCTAACAGTAGTGGTTTCGAGATGTAAATCTTGTTGTTGAACGTATCCGGTTTTTCGTTGAAATGATTCGTCGAGAGGTTTTCCGCTAACCAACATATCACCTGTAATAACTCCCATAGAAACTCTCTGAGCGAGGACATCGAGTAATGTTGTTTTTCCCGCACCAGAAACACCCATCAAAGCTGTTAAAGTTCCAGGCTTTACCCATCCGGAAACATTATCGAGAAGTCTGCGAGGTTCGTTCTTAATCTTGATATCGTAACACACATTTCTCCATGTGAACACGTCTGTTTGGGGTGCCAATGCCTGAACTTCTCCTCCATCTTTGTCTGAGTGATGCTTTTTGGCATCTACACCAGCGCCGACGTGTGCTTCTTCATCATTCTTTGCAGCTCGCTCCGCGGCCAATAACTCTTCTGGTACATGTCCACGGCGGAAGACCAAAACCTCAGCTTTACTGTCTGTAGAGGAATTGAACTCGGTTGCGAGAAGATAGAAAGATAAGAAAAAGATCATGAATGCAAACATGAATCCCAAGTTACGCCATAAGTGGGAATAAGAGTATTGAAACGCTGCTTCCAAATAATCATCACCACTGACAGTAGTGGAACCGATAACAGCGCCAGCAACAGCACAAACGAAGGTATTGCCAGATTGAACATAGCCCGGACCTGTAGGTACCAAAGTTGAGCAGTCGAATAGGGTTCCATGTAACTCATTGACGAATAAAGCCTCAAAAGTATATGCAACTGGATTGATCCATGAAAGCCATTTAAACCAAGGATGCATCAATGGTCTAGGAATAACGAAACCGGTATAAATGACAACGACAAGGGTGGCTACACCAGCGATAGCCAGTGCTTGAGCAATTGTTTTTGTTGCTGCTGCGATACTACGGTATATTTGACTCATCTGAAATGATTGTTAATACTCTCAAAAAATCCGCCACAGGAAGGGAATACTTACAGTCAAGATGGCCACAAAGTTAAAGAGGAAAAAGACAAAGAATGCGCCCGCCTCTTGTTTCAGACCCGCAAGGAAGTATAAAATGATGTTAAAACAGGTTGCAATGGCGAATTTCACCGGTATATCGACAACAACACCAGCCAAAGCTTCAGTGAAAGGATGATAGAAAGCGTAAGATGCTTGTTTTTCAACAATCGGTCTTTGGGAGTATAGAGTATTGATTTCCGATATAGCAATCAGAGCGTTAAGCAAAACGGCGAAGAAGAGAACACCTCCCTTTTGGAAGAAACTTGCTGTATTCGTCGGGGTATTGTAGTAAATAGATCCGATGATCAAAGCCATGGCAATCTGACCTACGATTGTCGTAACTGTAGAAGTTTTATCGTTCCATAAACGTTGAACGGCTCGCTTGGCACAATACTTTGTTTGCATGATGATGCTGACGGTGTATGGTGACTCGGGTCGTAGGTGATCAGCTTGCATCCCCTTCCGACTTTCTTTGAATTGTTCCAATGTTTTGCCTCCCATAGGGAACTCCTCTTCGTGTGCTTTCATTTCTCTCATCATGTTCTTGAATATTTTTGAATCTTTGAAGTATTTCTCGAATTCCTCTGGAGTCCTAGGAACCTTTTTCTCGAAGCCCGGTCTCGCTTTTCGTTCCGAAGTGTTGGTAATCGAAGTCAGAAAGTCACCAGTGGTTTGACGACTAAACTTGATCAGCATTATCCATTCATGGCACCTTTGGTAGTTATTTTGTGCACTTACGGAGGACATTCCCAACCCATATCCATAAAGTATTGTTTCGCTTGGTCGCAAGGTCCAAAATAAATTTGACGACCTTCGTAAAGTACGACTGTCTTATCAAATTCATCATAAATTTGTTGACTAGCTTGATAAATGGCAACCAAGTGAGCTGAACCACATAGATCGGCAGTCATCCGTAAAGATTTGGTGAACTAGTTCTTGGATCAGCCACGCACCAGCATCCATTTCAGCATAAATTTACTTACCTCTAGAGCAGTTGCGGCATCCAAACCACGCGTAGCGTTATCCCACGCCGCAATTGGTGAACCAGCCAAAGCCATCTCGGCGATACTAACACGTTTTCTCTCACCTCCAGATACACCTCGCACGAAATCATTACCGACTTTAGTATTATACGTGTGGGATAATCCGTAAACAGCCATGACGACTTTAGTCATATGCTTTGCCCAAGCTTCACGAGTGATTCCATCAATAAGTCTTTGCTGTGGCGTACGTACACTCGCAGCAAATTCCAAAGTCTCTCCAACGGTCAAATGAGGGAAATGCTTGTCGACCTCTTGGTTGTAGACTATTTCACCTCGGAATTGTTTGAGCATTTGTTTTTGCGTGATACCTAGATTTATTAGCATCATCCCCAAGCAAAGGGTAATCGAATGTCACAAACCATTATAATTAATCTCTGATTCTTGCTTCATGTCCAATCCATAAAGTTCTCCCGTTAGAGTTTTGAGGAATGTTGAACATCCCGAACCAGGTCTCCCCAGAACAAGCAACATCTCTCCTGATTTTAAAACACCATTAAAATCGTTCAAAATTGTCTTCTCGGAAGATTTTCCACCAAATTCTCTAAATCGTAAAGGTGCCATTAACAGCGAAGCAACATCCTTTTGTACATTTATTGCTGATCCAGAACCGCATACTTTGAGGTTCTTGAATACAATTCCAGCACGTCGTTGGATAACTTGATTCTCATCCGTCAATCTCATCATCCTATACATCCATTAGTATTTAGACGACCAATTCATGGACATGAGCAAAACTCACATTTTCGTCCATTTATACACATCAAAATCGAGGGAGCTGGGGTCCAAGGTTGATTCTCCCCATTTAAGGCCAGCCAAGGTATCCTGTTTCTCCAATTCATGATTCTTCGCTGTAGCATTGGTAAAAGTTCGTCCTAATTGAGAACCTCCAAAACCTGAAGCTATTCTCTCCAATTCTTCACGATCTCCCGTCCTTATTGATTCGAATTGTTTTTCTCTCGCAGTTTCGTTGGTTGTCGTAGGGCGTAATGTTTCGTTAAAGTCTTCAGAGCCATCTGAGCTAGATGGTAATGGTTGTTCGACCTCATTTTCGAATTGTGGCGTAAACTCGAGATTGGAAGTGATGTCTGAGCGTTCAGGGAAGTAATTATGTAGTTCATGATGTTCATGTTGTTCGGAATCCAAATTCGAAGCCATATCCAAATGTTGACCACTGTGGTGGTTGGGTCGATGTGGGGTGGGGGGAGGGGAGGGGAGGGGAATATTAATGTCGTCACTGATAAGGGACGATAGGGAGGGACAGAGGGAGATGGAGGGTATAGGTTGTGAATGAAGTAAAACAGAGAAGTCGAAGACTAAATGTTCCCTTTCGACTTCAAAATAATTATATATGTAAAAAAAAAGAAGAGAAAACTTTGATCGAGTAAGAGTAAATTTAGTTTTAATTATGAATATTAAGATATAATCAAGTTTCTCATTCTCTTCCTCTTTTTTGAATCTTGGGAAATGTGCTTCTTTTGTAAGTCTTATAAATAAACACTCCGTTGTTCAGCAGCAATTTGATATCAAGGTTGAACGACCGCCGAGTCAATGGCTTTGCTTCTCATTGGCTCAGTGGCTTACAATCTAATGACGGAAGCCGATGAAAACGGATTGCGGAAAATGTTAATGCCGGACGAAGTTATTTTCTTATGTCCGTTTGCTTTGGGAAAGCGGGTGCAAAGCTGGATAAGTCAAGCAAAAAGCGATAAGATCTTACCGTTTTACGTTTAAGGGTCAATGAAAATCTGAGTACTGTGGATCTTTGCTAGGCATTTCCTGCTAGAAAAGCTTGACACCCTGCAGGACTTGATGGGGATGATAAACTCGGGGCACTCAGTGTAAGGTGCTTAGATGCTTAGGTGCAAACGCCACATCTAACATGATCTAACCATCTCTTACATCAAGGTATGAGCGAGGTGAGGAAAGAAGTCTATCTATTCTAACAAATTCTATGATACACACATACACACTCTTTCTCTCTCTTTCTCTCTCTCTCTCTCTCTTTCTCTTTCTCCTTCACACTCTCTCTTTCTCCCGACAAAATGCTCAAAACTATTGAAAACCCATCACAATCCTAGCTTCACTACTTTCCATACCAAAGTTATCTCGCCGAAGTACTCATACACTAACCCAACATGATCCGGCGTGTGTTGAACCATGCTAGTAAAGGGGAAGAAAAGTCGGGACTCAGGAGTCAGGAGTGGCCGGTACCATAGTCAGGCCGACTGCTGGTCCGCCGTCTCGGTGGAAACTACAAACAAAGAGAGATGACGGAATATTGTTGTTGGCGGAGTTAAACGATCTACACATGGGTACTAGGTATTTATATACATTAGTGGAAATCGGGAAACGGATAATGTGGATCAAACCCCTAAGTTCTAACCCACCCTCGCCCGCCTGCGCGTCCTCAATCTTTTGTGGATTCTTACTTAAGGTTACAACAACGGATTGCTCATTATGGCTCATCGCAATGTTAGAACTTAGCAATCAGATTATCAAAATACCCTTTAATCCACATAAACTCATCTACCCCATTAACCACATTCGACTCTAGCTTGCTCAGATTTAATCAAAATAATATACTTCCCCTATAACAAGACTATCCACTTTGGACAATTCTTCCAATTACACACTTTTCCGCGTGCCAACTGGCCGAATCAAGTTAATCAGATAAGATGTAAATAGTTTAGCATCATGACGAAATCTTTCAACTTTAATTATAAATCTTTAAGCTGTAATGGTAATGGTAAATCTTCTCCTTCTCCTTTGTGGGATGATCCGAACCTCCGTCTTCTCCATCCTCCGTTCTCTAGTCTCCATTCTCCGTCTTCCATCCTCCAATCCCCGTCCTTCATTTCCTGTTCTCCATTTTCCGCCTGGAATAATATTCGGATGCAAGTGTTTCATTTCATCCGGACCACTTTAATTTGTTCCAGAAGCTCAGAACCATCAGCTTGGCTTCTTTTCTTTGTCGTACATCAAAAATAACACAACACTCGTGCATACCGTACAGAGTAAAGTTACACAAACATTGGAAAGATTCGGTAGGGCTGAATCCCGACAACAGTCACACAACTGTAGCACAACTTGAAGCTAAGGATGATGATTAATCCGCTGAATATATAAAGAAGGAAACTTCTCGAATTGTTTGAGGCTGATTTGGTGTGACTTTTGAATGCAATCAATCCATCGCCGAGCCTTCAGAAAGTTCGAGATTCTTTCCTTTCAACCACCATCAGCCACATACATCTGCCCAGATCTGGACACGGACGAGAACCAAGATGCTATCAGTTATCTATAATCTCGAGTGGTTCAATTCGCAATTGAGAATTTCTTTCATCACTCCCTTCCTTCCTTCAAGTTTATCCACAAAATTGTTCAAAGTTACAGACAGTTGTTTGCTATCTTTCATCGACTCATTCATTCATTCATTAATTGTTCTCAAGGAATTAGTCGACTTCGATAAGTCACTCATCATATTGATAGACTAAAATCATTTCCTATATGAGGTAAGCGACATCACATCTCGAGTTATGTGTCGATGACACTATTGATTTTCGTTTCTTTTCTCAACGATTCCGACATGAAATTCGAATATCACAAAATTCGGGTATTACACGTGACATTATAGTCACATGATCGTACTACTTCCATGACAACATGAATTCTAAGGGCTCCGATGAGGCAAGTTACTATGATGACGACAATAGAACACAGTGGAGATGACAATCAAAATGGGGAATCGGCGAAAACGATCATTATATTTGCAATCATAATGCTACAATTGCTTTTGAAATGACAATATCAATGCATTGACTTCCGAAACAAGGATTTCCCTTTCAAAGCCGAGCGTCGTGTTCACCGTGTATCATGTTGCTTGTACAACAGCATGAAACTTCATTTCATCTATTCTATCACAAAAAAAAGAAAGAAAAAAAATATTCAGACAAAATTGCTTCATTCTTTCTTTTCCGAATATTTTGTTTCCTTTCTATAGCTCATCTCTGACAAGTGAATTGAGATTCAAAAGATGGTCAACCAAGTATATTATGAGCTCCCAGCGGAGCCCGTAAACATTTCAGCCAATCCTCAGACTCAGTCACAAAAACAACAACAACAGGAACAACAACAATCTCCTTCGTTACCTCCCAGAAATCCTCCTGCTCCATCAGTTGAAGATGAAGAGTCCACAATCCGAGGTGTTCCGGGAGATGATCTGTCTGCTACACCTCTACCATTATTCGTACGAAGATCTAAATCAAATCTTTTAAGTCAATCTTCAGAAAATGCCACGACTGATACCACGTCCACACCTCCTCCTAATCGGTCCAACATTTCCACAACCGAATCCTATGAAACCAATACTTCCGATAACCCGCCACCCCTTCCAGGTAACAGACCGAACCTAAACATTCATACCGGCCCATCACTTCCACCCCGAAGAATTTCTCAGTACAATCCAGATGAAATACACTTTACTCGAGATTCCCACCGAGTAATCGCATATCTCATACCACTTCCTAAACCCATAAATGTTTCGGATGCTGACTTTCCTCAAGTTTGTCGCTATTTTAATCCCACGTCAGCATTCCACTAATAATCACTCAGCGATATCTAATGTATACACCACCTGCAGCTCATCTTCTCAAGCCAGCTGAAGGAATCAAAGAAGGAAAACGTCATAAGGGGAAGCGGATTTGGCAGCGTGAAGTAAGTTAACTTCGTTTCGTGGAGCTGTCTTGATGGCATGACAATAGCTAACCATACTCTGATTATAAGGTCAAAAAAGCTAAAACTTATGATGGTAAAACCATGAGTTTCAAAGGACTTCATAGTAAAGCCACTCGGGGTGTTGTTTGGGGAATTAACTCCATCAAAAATACAGATATAACATTTCTTAATCGAGTTCCTCGAAAAGGTACTTCCTAGCCATTCCACCTTCTTCTAGATCCTGAACTAAACTACCTCTCAGAAATTGAAGAACTTCACATCGTCTATCCGTCAAGCATCCACGATTCCCCCGTCGATCTCCGCACCCAATTCCTCTCCCAGCTAACCCGCACCAAAATCCGCGCAAAAAAACACTCCGCAATATCCACCCTCCTTCTCCTCCCCACCCTGCTAATCGACACCTTCGCCGCCGTCATCTGGCCCTTCGGTGGTCTCTTCGAAGTAGACGCCATATGGGCCTTCACCTCTATCCGAGGCTACCTCGTATCACGCTCCATCACCAGCCGACTAAAACCCCAAGACACACCTCCTCACGATCCCTCCCAAACCCGTACCCAAGATCGAGAACTCTACCTCCGCTTTCAAAAAAGCGAGCAACTCAGCATCCTAGAAAAATACGTCAAGGAATTATGTCACAAGCGTAACCCCGCACGATTCGAGAGTGCGGGGGTCCCACCCACAGATTCAGAGGCTTTGAAAGCGATGGGGTGGGAACCGGATTTGAGGGGGAGGGTTAAAAGTGGTGAGAGAGGTGGGATGCCGGAAGGTGGAGTCAGGGATTGGGATGATGAGAGGTGGCAGGAACGGGAGATGAAAGAGGATTTACTGGGGGTTTTGGGGAAGGGTGCGAGGAGTTGGGATGCTTGGTGTAAGAAGTGGGAGAAAAATTCTAAGAGGGCGGAGAGGAAGTGAGTTGGGTTTATAGGGAGGGTTGGGCGCATGGATTGTAGTGGGATGGGTTGAGAGTTTATATTTGTATGTATATATAACGGTGTAGAAGTTGAACGTAGTATTCAAAGTAACAAATCTAATTATAACAAGTATAAGTCTGTCACGATTCACTATTAGGATTAGTGTCTTGGGATGAAAAGTAATCACGTGATAAGGAGCCCTAGGAGCCCTCAAAGCTCCTAGGGGCTCCCTTTATCGTTCATTATATAATCAGAGTAATTTCATAGTTTAGGAGCTTTGTGCTCAATTTAATTATCAATTAGTTTATTTACATTCTACTTGATCTAGTAACGACTTCATTTCCAAGTAAATACCAATGATAAAGCCCTAACCCATAACTACCAACCGACGAACCTTAGGCAGCCGCTGCCTCCAGTATAGTATCGTTACAGACAGGTTGACTGTTACTACATAACATAATTGTAAAAGGAATCTGATTTAAATTTTTATTAAATAATAATTATTTATTGTAGAGTTTGTTAAAAGGAATGACCTTACACAGGGAATAGTGGGAAGCTGATAGGGCAGAACTGAGGCTATATTGGTCTTATATATAAATCACTCATTATCTAAGTTCTACGGAAGTGCGAAGCTCTCCTACAGAGAGCTTCTCAATCTAGTCCTAATAGGACTAGTGCCCTGTGCACGTGCTACGCAGGAACCATTCACTTTAACAGAGTTGTTAATTAATAGATAAAAGTAATGATTTTTGATGTGAAAGGTGGTTTAAAAAGAGGGTGGTGTAACGATACTGTACTGGAGGCAGCGGCTGCCTAAGGTTCGTCGGTTGGTAGTTATGGGTTAGGGCTTTATCATTGGTATTTACTTGGAAATGAAGTCGTTACTAGATCAAGTAGAATGTAAATAAACTAATTGATAATTAAATTGAGCACAAAGCTCCTAAACTATGAAATTACTCTGATTATATAATGAACGATAAAGGAAGCCTTCAGGAGCTTTCTGGCTCCTCAGGGCTCCTTATCACGTGATTTCTTTTTATCCCAAGACACTAATCCTAATGGTGAATCGTGACAGGTGGTCTGAACTTAAAGGGGGTATTGGACTTAGTTAGATTGAAGAATTAGATATTTTATAAGGATTTATAGATAACATGGTTTATCAGCAGTCCGCCCACATCACTAGTCCGCCCACTTTTTGATTATTTAACCACTTCAAATTCTAATTAATCAATCATAACTTATTCAATTGATTTAAACTATTAAGAATCTAATAATCTAGGATCTATTATATCATTTTGACAAGTTCTTGAATTATGATCAGTCTTTCCGTACTTACTACAATATCGATTAATAAATGATTCTTCATTAGGATTTCTCTCATTTTGACATTTTGTTACGAGGTTTGCCGTCTAGATCACGTGGAAGTGCTCTAGGCTCTCGAGATGGTTTATAACTAGGCGTCAAGCAGGGACTTAAAGTAATGACAATAATGCAATTCGTAACTAATAGTAGAGTATACTAAATGATTGATCTTGAGCACGAAGCTCTATACAAAGGAAATCCATCTTGATTATATAGTCCTTCATGCTTCTATGATTACTGGTGATCCTTCATGATCACCAGTGATCACCTATATCGTGATCCTTAGTGATCCTTAATGATCACCAGTGATCACCTATACCGTGATCCTTAATGATCACGTGTCTTGGTAGTTGTGTAGCCCGTCGTAATACATTTGTTATATTAAATCTGATTATCAATCTTTTATTGTAATAACGTAATGTATGGGGAACTCGGACATATGGGGAACTCGGACACTTTTTCAATTATTCTACACGCGATCTTGTTCTACGAGCCACACAATCCTCCAATTCCAATTCTGAATCATTTGAACTATTCTCTAGCTCTTCTTCTTCAATCTCTTCTTCTGATTCTTCAATTGGGCGCTTGCGTGGTCGTCCTCGTAGCTTTTTCTCCTTAGGTTTTTCCTTCGCTTCATGTACTATTTTCAATATTTCCTTAGTACTAAAGACAAATTGACCTTGTAATTTGACTCTTTTGCCTTTAATTCTCTTTTTTCGAGTCTCAATTACTTCCTGAGCATCAGCGAGCTGTTTCCGAAGTAAGGCTATCTCAGCATTTTGAGATTCTACAAGCCTAGTCATTCTCTTGGCATATCGACAAATTGATGATATAGGAGAACTATTGCTTGCTAGAGCTATATTAAAGATCTGATTTGCTTATATTAGTTCTGTCCCATCTGGAGGAGAACTTTTGAGTATATATAAGTCTAGGTCTTGATTGGGGGTTCTCATTTGTGGAGTAAAAGATTGTTGAGAGGAGTTAAATGGTAATGTATCGAGTACTTTTCGTGGGGTAAAAGGTATTAAACTAGCTTCTCTTCAGCTAGCTTTAATATTAGAAGAATTCAATGCTTTTTTTCTAATATTTTGAAAGAGTTCTACCCATTCAGCTCTTTGAATTCGCTTTACACCAATTCGAGAATATCGATCGACCTTTAAAGCATGATATCGTTTCATTGGCCCATACATTGCAATATCAAGTGATTGAAGCAAGTGGAAGCAATGAGAAGATAATATAAGTAAATCGATATCCTTCTCTATACAGAAAGCAATAAAGCTGCCTGTAATATAACTTGAATAGCCATCCATAATCAAAAGTCGAGGTCGGTCATCTGACACTTTCTTGGATTCTGGTTCGAAAACCCTTTTTAATCATTCTAATCCATAACTATTTGAGGTCCATCTATTTGTACTAGTAGAGAACTACTAGTTTTGAAGTTTATCCTTTGGAATCCATACAGAATTCGTATTCTGAGCCTTGAAAATGATTATAGGTGATAGAGCCTTTCTAGCTACATTGACATATTCAAATACAGTTATCCATTCTTGCTTGCCAATTATAACTTTCCAATTCGATTTCTAAATAGAATTGACTATAATGCACATACTTTGAGTACTTCCAACTCCAAATCCAATTTTGTCTATATTATATATATTATCTAATTTATACTTTCGTTCAATAAAATATATACGAAACATATCAAACCAAGCCTGAATATTCTTCAGAGTTACCTTTTTAGCTCGATTAGATTCTAATTGATATAAATAGCATATTTTAAGTTCTGGATATTGTTTTTGGAATCTATAGATCCATTTGTGGTTTATAGATGGAATTTCTATTGAGGTAGGAATTCGAGATGATGCAATCTGAATACATCGAAGACGAATTTCGTCGGCTATTTCCTTCATCAATATAGGTGTAGCAGGGAATCCAGTGATCGTGAGTTGTGGAATCCATTGTACAAGAGTATTTTCTTCTGCGTTTGAAAGAATTTGAGCCATTTCGTAGGTTTGGGAACGTGTTTTCTTCCCAGCCAGCCTATCGGCTAGAGTGGACTTAGGGACTTCAAAATGCTCTGCAACCTTTCTAATTGATTTAAATTCTTTTAATTGAAGTGCAACTATAGCTTGTTGAAGCTTCTCTTCAATCTGAGCAGGTGTAAAAGGTGATTGGGTATACATAATAAAAGTTATTAGGGTTTCAAGTTGGCGATGGGCAAAAAGTGTCCGAGTTCCCCATACGTTACTGTTGGTACGAGAAGGATACGGAAGACGTAGCACCCACAGATTACGTAGGTCCTGTATGTCTAATTGTATTCTGTCTAAAGAGCTAGCTACATATTGAAAGTAGTAAGTCTTATATAGACTTACTAAAAGAGCTAGTCTCTTTCGCGTTCGCTTAGTTCTTTATTACAGTAGTAATTGAATTGAAGTCATTCACTTCGTTCACACAGTTACGTTAATATATCTTCAATTTCTTATTCAGTAAGTACTCCTTCATTATATAGTTAAATTTTTTTAATATATCGATATTTACTTAATATCTTATTTGCTCTTCGATATATACGATTCTCAATATTTAAAAGTATATTCTTATATGCTAATCTCTTTATACCCTTAATTAAAGCTTGTATAATCTCAAATATAAATATAGAAGAACTTGATTGATAATGAGCTATTCAAGCTTTTATTAAAGTTGATTATAAGAGAGCTTCAATTGGATTGTGAGAGGTTTGAGAGATCCAGGAATTGGTAAGTTCTAAAGAGGTAGATGAAGGGGTAGAAGTACGAATCCTAATATCTAGTTTTGAGAGTATAGATTAAGGATCGAATAGTATTAGACCTGCTTCTCGAAAACCAGTTTTCATATTCTGAATAGTAAATAATTGTAAATATACAGCTTTGAAGACTATAAATAATTCAACCTTAATGATATGATTGATATGAGCTTTGATAAATCCTTCAATTTGACAACTATATGAATGTTTAAATACGCCAAAACATCTAACATTGAGTGATTGAATTAAATGATTTGAGTATAATAATAATCTGAGGTATATAATATCATTTGATTTGTAATATAATTGAAAAAGTTTTGATTCGTGGCTTTTGTACTTATCCAATACTAGCATTCGATATTTGCCCTTCCTTTGACGAATAGTATGTTTATCGAAATGCTTTAATCATTCTAATCCTGTCTCATTATTCGTCCATCTATTAGAAGTAGGTTTAAAAGCCCAATCTGCAGGAAAACCGCTTTCGGTATACCAATTAGAAAGGTGATATTACCTTTGTACCACCAAGAATGAAGGTATAGTCCAACCCTCTCCATTACTATATATGATCGCTGTAGCCCATTTTCGATTGCCTAATTTTATTGTCTTACTTCTGTTACATTTTTCAATACTAATTACAATTATTTTAGGGCATATTACACCCATCATAAAGCTGGTTTCATCGAAGTTATAGAAATCGGAATCGACAATATCATATTTCGCTTATATATTGAATACTAATCAAAACTACTCTTTAATAAGCTTTGGATCTTTACAAAGAGCTCTTTGGAAATCACAAATACAATTAAATCGCATCTTTAATTCTGGGCATCGTTTAACAAAGCGATGAACCCAAAGCATTCTATTGAGTTTCTTGAGACCAGAAAGAGCATCAGATTGAATTGATTGATTCTCTAGCTAAGCAGTTAAGCTGCGAGTATATATTCAAAAAAATGAAGGAATAGGGTTAGGTATTCGGCCTTCGGAATTAAAGTGCTTTGAAATCAAAATATTGAAAGCAAACAAACAGTATACCAAAAAGGAAAGAATGAATTAAAAGTTGAGTTTTGCTTGCTCCTTATATGCATCATGCAATATATATGCATATGCTGCCAAGATCCCAGGAGGTCAACACTTTCCAACCTTCTTCGCACCCCGCGATTTAAGGATATAATTCGCTATATCTTCTACACTATTTAATTTAGATACAAACCCTCTCTCATCCATATCGATTATATACTGGATAAGCATCTCCTCTTCTAATTTGGTCAAATTATGACTTTTTGATCGATAATCAGCCATATTAGTACAACCTTTAATTCTATCCCCCAAAGTAGATCGAGGTATATTATAAAGGTTTGCCACTTTCCGAATTGAGAATTGTGGATTAAGTTTAATAGCTTCAATAGCTAAGATAATTCGTACTTCTTTAAAATGAGTTTCCATAAGTAATTATTGATAAAACGTGTATTGAAGTGGAAGAGTTGGAAATGGCCAAAAAGTGGGCGGACTAGTGATATGGGCGGACTGCTGATAAACCACGTTAGTATTTAACGTGGTTTATCAGGACCCTGTACATATCAGGACCTTGTACACTTTTACCTCAATTGCCTACATTCCATTGAAATAAAATTACAACAATACTATAAATTAGAATTAAATTACATACAATTCAAAGATCAACTAATGCTGGATCTAATTGACAAGTTCGTGCATTATGTGAAGCATTACCACATTTGCTATATCGTTGTATAGTAGTTTGCCTTCTTGCTGAAGAATTATCATTTGTAAATTCATTGCATTGTATCTGATCTTCTACATTCTCTTGTTCTAATATATCATACCTATCTTCTACTGAAAGTACTCCTTCTTTTCATATTAAAGCTTTTCTAGCTCTTTAGCATTTACTAAATGCTTCATTTGCTTTGCGGAGATTATGAACCTCAACAACTAAAAGTATATTCGCATAAACTAAAAGCTCTATACTCTTAGCTAAAGCTACAATTGTTTTAAATATTGAAGTAAATGAGCTCTTTTGATGTTGAGCAATATGATTTTTCATTAAAGTAAATTAAGAAAGAGCTTCAATTGGATTGTGAGATATTTGAGATTGCTATATATCAGGATCGATTGATATTGATCTATTTAATGGAGTTTTTATTCGAATATCTAGCTTTGAAAATACAATTTCCGGATTAAATGGGATTAGCCCAGCTTTGCGGAACCCAGCTTTACCATTTGATATAGATATTGCTTCGATATATACAGCTTTGAAGACTTGAAAGAATTTGGTTTTGATAATATGAATAATATGCGCCTTGATAAAATTCTCGATTTGTCGACTATATAAATACTTTAAAGGACCAAAACAGCTGATATCGAATAGTTGAGTTAAATACAAAGAATGAGATAATAAACTAAGTAATATAATATCGTATTCCTTGCAGTATTCCTGAAATGTTGGCGATTTATGACTTTCATACCTATCAAGCATTAACATTTGATATCTATCCACTTTCCTATTTTCAGTATGTTTATTGAAGTGCTTAATTCATTCAAGATCTATCTCATTATTTGTTCATCTATTAATAATAGGTTTAATAAGCCAATTGTATAGTAAATCATTTTCGGTATATCAATTTGAAAGATGGTATTTGCTTTTTACTATCAAAAACAAAGGTATATTATGATTTTCTTTATTAATACAAATAATCGCTATAATTTATTCTTGATTATCTAATTGTATAACTTTGCTTTTTCCATATCGATCAGCTTTAGTAACTACTATATATGATGATATTTGTCCCATCATAAAGCCTGTTTCATCGAAGTTGTAGAAATCGCAATCCAGAATACTATATTTGGCCTGTATATTCGATATCAATCGAAACTATCTTTCAATAAGCTCTGAATCTTCGTAGAGAGCTTTTTGAAAATCATAAACACGATTAAAACATATCTTTAATTCTGTATATTGTTTCACAAAACGATGAGCCCAGAGCTTTCCAACCTTCTTCGCACCCTGTGTTTCGAGTATATAATTCGCCATATCTTCCATATCACTTATTCGAGGACTAAACCCTTTTTCATCTATATCCAATATATATTAAAGAAGCGATTTCTCCTTCAATTCTATCATTTTATGATTTGTTGATCGATATTCAATAAAAGACAGAATTCCATTCATTCTAAAAGTAAGGGTAATATAAGGTATATTATAGAGTTTTGCAGCTTTCCGAATACTCAAATTTTGAGATATACAAATAGCCTCAATAGCTAAATTGATTCGAGCTTCTTTTGAAGTAGTTTGCATAATTAAATATTGATAAATCGCGTGTTGAAGTTGAAAGGTAATAATTGAGGTAAAAGTGTACAGGGTCCTGATATGTACAGGGTCCTGATAAACCACGTTATATTAATTTTAATTACATAACCTGATCTATTGTGACCTTCTTCCCATTACCTCTCGAGGATGTTGCCTGTGGATCGTGGGGAATATCCGATGACTGTTTGTACACCTGTTTCCCTAAGAATATAAACAGGGTCAGCACCCAGGCTTCAATGAACATTCCCCCAACAATCCATATCAGCTTTCTCAATTTCTTATCCACCGATTTATTTGTAACTTTATTTGTAAAAAATATATTGTCCTCTAAATTATAGTCTTTCTCTTCTTCTTCTATAAGAATAATGAAAAGTAGATAGTAGATAGTAGATAGTAGATAAATCCAAAGATATATAATAATAATAAGATTGCCTATTAATTAGCTAATAACTATCACCACAAGGGAAGCCGAGCTAAGCCTCCGTATAAGAAGCAACAATGTCGTCGATAGCACAAAGTAATGTATTAAAATCACAGGTAAAATTCAACAACACCAGCAATGTTCATCATGCTCACAAGATAATCAAAATCAAAATCTAGCCTCAACACTCAACAAAAGCTCTCTCCCAAAAACATCAACAGTCCGAAGCATTAACAATAATAAGACTTATTACACCGCGATCAAACACTCGCTACCTAGGTAGCCAGGACAATTAATAATTAGGTAGATATCCTAGGTACAGTAACCGGGTTTTAAATCCCAAGCGCTTTTCAACAACAAATAGTACGCCTCGCTCAGATAACTCCAATCAAAATTTTTGAATATCGTTTAAGAAGCCGTTGATAAATCATGATGACCACTTATTTTCCCGCACAAAAACCCATCTCTTTTTAAACCTCGTAGGCAGAGCTTTTCTCATTCCATATTCCCCATCTTTTTTTGTAATCTTATGTTCGTGTTACTTCTCGATATAAAATAAAATAGAGTGCCCGACGAGAGATACTGTGGTACTGAAGTGACTGACGCATCAAGCATCATGCTCCAAGCACGGATATGCGTAACATGACAACATTCCCCCAAAAGAAACCCTAGTACCAATCCCGAAGATTCCAGAATATAAAGTCCCTCCCTCTACTGTAACTCCGTATGTGGCATTTCATCAGCGAGAGAAACGGGTTTGCCACCCGAAACAGGATAATTGACGGTGTGGGAAAGAGCAGCGGCAGATGTGGAGAGGGTGAAGATAGCCATGACGAAGATAACCCGGAGGGAATAGGAAGAAGTAGAGTTTAGGAATTGCATTTTGAATTGTGCGATTATGGTGAACGATTTTGGTAGGCCTGGTAACGAATTAGCTAAAGATATTCTGACCAGGGGGTTGAGGGGGAATATGCATACGTTTTGAGATCAGCGGTATAAGTAAGGATTAAATGATTTCACCCAAGGATTGCCTTGCGATATTCGTGTGTGAAAGAATGGGTAATATCCCTTCCATTTTTGTGGGAGAGAACGAATATTTATTTCTCTTCGATTCTGAGAGCGCTCCACCTCGTGAAAGCAGATAATGAAACATAGCAATTAAACATGGCCTGAAAGGTTTTACAAATTTACTTTCGCTGGTAGAGAGAGAGGGGCATTTATCAATGCTCACTCCATTGTCCGTGAAAATTGCACATATCAATGCTTTGCTCTTACATTCCATTGATCAATTCTGTGGTGAATAGGGTAATATTGTAGGCGTGGCATGCTCCCCGCAGGGAGCTCCACGTAGAAACTAGGGGTTGGATTGGCTAGAAATTATGTTTAAGCATAGGTAATAACCGGCACTAATAAATGGCCCACTAGAAACTAGTGGGGGTAAATGGAATGTCCCGCTAGTTATAAAATATGAACAGTTTGAACAATTTTTGAATTCATATTAAAGAGTTTATAATACTGATTTCAATTTGATAATAAGAATCTTACAACGAAAAATTTATTATATTAACTTGAAAACTCGTAATTGGGTACCAGAAATAAGACTTTTTTCAATAGTAATTTAAGGATTTTAATGTATTTGATATATTTTATACCAAGATCGGCAGAGGGACAATTCGGCTACCGGCGAACATTCACCTTCCCTGATTAGAACTAGTCGGCCGTCTGTAAGAGCCGATTATCAATATAAGCTTTTGGTCTAGCTCTCTTTGTCATATAAGCTTTTTTTTAGGTTCGCGGGCCGAACCCGATTCAATTGGGATTGGCTAAAGTCGAGGAAGATTGATTGTCAACACTTTCTTCCAAGACTTTCTGTTTTACCTGTGTCGAAGGAATTAGTTGTACAAATTTTATGGGATTTTATATGTATTGATTGGTTGAGGGTCCCCGTTTGAAATGAAGAAATAATCACGGACATACTTTTGATTCCGTGCCCCTTGTTCATAATCATGCTCTGCTTTTCGAAAAGCCCAACCCCAACTAAGGGAACTGATTAAACCATAAAATAAATCAAATTGCACATCCTCAGGGAAGCAACCCTGCAAACTTTCGCTGCTACCATGACGGCATGTATAAATTCAGCCATTGCAGCGCCAAACAATATGAACAATGTTAGAAGTGAGTGGAGAGAATTCACATTTTCCAATCAAATCCTTGACTTGTGGTAAATGGAGTTGTGGTATTCTGGGGTTAGGATCTAACATGTAGTGTACCAAAATAGCAAAATGTGCATCCGCAGAACTAGTACGGCTTATTAACCTCTACTCCTTCCATTTTACCCAACCTATCAAAGGCCTCCCCTAAACCTCGACTTGAGGGCCATCGTCACAAATTTGCAAAAGAGTGAAGGTATTGCATTCACTTGAAATAATCTATCCATACCTAGTATTTAAGGAAATTGAATATCGCGCCGCGGAGAGGTTCATCGAAATGGCGTTGGCTTGTATGCACAACTACAGTTTCGAAATCCCAATGGATGACACTAATTCTTTCCTTGAAGCTGCTTGGTCAATAACCATGCCGCATTTTCGAATTTAACGGCGCGGTCTTTGGTTGAAACGATCTTGGTCGATAACCACACCACATTTTGAGATTGATCCCGCAGTTCTTGGTGAATACCAACTGTTGTGTTACGTTCCTGGAACCCAAACCTCCTTCGACGTCCATCAAGGTTGCCTTCTCTTTCCCATAAATACAACTTTCCACCAACACACCAACACAGCAGCACACTTAAATATCCAAACAAATGTATACCACCTCCACATACACTCTACAATTCTTTTTCGCCTCAATAAGTACACAGACAAAATAAGTGGAAATGATGCTTTTTGGGGAAGGAAAAAACTGACCCTACCTCAGCCGAATCACAAATCGAATCCAAACACCTTCCACGAACTCAACATGCTCTTTTTCAATCCAAACAAGATCATGCGCACCATGATTGCACTTCTCTCCGTCCTCTTCCTCACCATCTCTATTGCCAACGCAGCCCCTGTCCCCGACAATGAAGTTTCCACCATCAATGCTAGTGATGGAGCGCTTTGCAGCTCCTCTAGAGTAGGCTATTGTACGCTGGCTGTCACTGTCAGAACCGAAGCAATCAAAGATGGACTTCAGGATTACGTTAGGGTTTTCGACAGTATCTGCAATGAAATTGGAGGTGATTGGCAAAATTTCGATATCGATTTGGCCAGTCAACTTCGATTTAAGATTATTGGAACATTTGCATCTGGCCCCCACGACAGCCCAGAACGTCTTGAACCCATGCCATGTTTTTGCTATGGATCAAAATGTTGGTCCTCGGAAAATAGTTGCTGGGAACGATCGTTTATTAATCCTGGCAAATGGATCAACAGTTGTAAATTCCGATGCGACGAATGAGGATGTTCGCTGAATAAATACACGAATGATCCAACATGGCAGATGGCAATGAACAGAGTTGGATCTTGTCGATAAGTTTTGGTGGTTTTGACAGACGTGAGGTTACTGATTAGCCTCGCTAGAGGATCTGCTTAGGATCCGTTTCTACATTGGGGCTTCAGCCTAGTTTTTAGTCTTATTTCGGAGTTTTTTGGCTGTCTGGCTGCAGGTCTGACATCTTATCCGATTGAGTTTCGGATCTTTTCGGGTTTTCTATCACAGTTGTGATCCGATCGGCTGTTGAACGGCTAAGGCGGTTCGTAGGTAAAAAGCTTTCAAACCTACATACAAACAACTCGATCAATGATAAGAATTGACATAAAAAAACTACGTGTTCATATAAAAGAAAAATTCCCCTTTTCTTTCCCGAGAAGTTTGCCCACCAAAAGCAATATTTTGAGAAGTTGTACCTCGGCTCATTTTCATCTTGTTAACTATTTCGTGTGTTTTGACTGACGGTCTACTCGAGTCTACTCGAGTCTACCGGCTCAAGGCTCGGCCCTGGCCCGTATTGGTTTGGACACTCCCCTAAGATAGGATTGCGACAAAACTTTCGATCTTGGCACAATAGATATCCCGTGTGCCGTAGCAAAGCCATGGTTAACACGTTCGATACACATTATTAATAGTGCCGCCCTCCGTGCATCATAGCGTCGTAGAGCTAGAACAGCCAATGGAAGGATTTTGGTTCACTAAACAACAAAATTTTCTTCCCGTCTGTTTGATTATTTGATCGTCTAGCGGTAAAAGCTGTCAAGATATAGGAAAATTTTGAGCCTGCCGAGGTTCAATTATGTTTTTTTGGTGGTAACGCCGTGGTGGGTCGGTGATTTTGTGGATCCCATGTGGATTTGCATCATTATGGCCACTGGAATTTTGCATCCTACCCGGAGATTATTCAGTAGTGAAGTAAGAAATAATAACATACAAAAGGAGGATGTCTCGCATCCATCATAGGCCCTTTCTTTTTTCATCCATCTCAAAGATTGCGATCGTTCATCATTTCCCATAAGACATTTAATCTTTTGAGTGCAGAATGTTCGACTTAGCACCCCGTCCCGATGAACCCATCGTTATCGCAACGACCCATAAATCATATCGATTAGGGAAAGACAGAGGATTACCACCCCATCTTATCGGAGAGCAGAGCAACTACCTCGTCGAATTAACAGATGAAAATGATCCCGCCAGTGCAAAGTCATGGACTTTCGGGAGGAAGATGAGAACTGCTGCAGTTCTAGGATTCGATACTCTTATTGCATCATGGGGTTCATCTGTCTACTCTGCAGCTGTAGAACCAGTTGCCTATGAATTTGGTGTCAGTAGGATCGTGGCTGTTCTCGGTTTAACGTTATATATTTGTGGTTTTGCAACCGGTACATCTATCCTTTCATCTGATATTAGACAGTATGGCTAATGAACAAATCGTGTAGGTCCATTATTTTTTGGTCCAATCTCCGAACTTTATGGCAGAAAGAAGCCTATCACTGTAGCGTGCTTTGTTTTCACCTGTTTCATGTTTGCTGCGGCAACAGCAAAGGATTTTCAAACCTTGATGTTATGTCGATTCTTCGCCGGTGTTTTCGCTTCGTGTCCTTTGACCGTCGTCGGTGGTGCTTTCGCCGATATGTTTGGAAATGAAACTCGAGGTGTTGCCATTGCCGCTTTCTCGGCGTTAGTGTTCATCGGCCCTTTCATCTCGCCTATTGTTGGAGCATTCATCACAGTGTCACATCTTGGTTGGAGGTGGACCGAATACATCACAGGTATCATGGGAGCTTTCGCCTTGATTCTCGACATCCTCTTCCTGGAGGAAACATATGTCAAGACACTTCTTCAAAGTCGAGCTGCAAAGATTCGAAAAGAGACTGGTAATTTCGCCATTCACCATGTCAGCGAAGAGGAACTTCTCAGCTTCGATGATCTAATCAAGAAACACTTGTTACTTCCATTCAAGCTCCTTTTTGGAGAACCAATCGTTTTCCTCATCACTATTTATACCGCCTTCATCTATGGTATCTTATATCTTTTCTTGGAAGCCTACCCAATCGTATTCGCCGAATATCGTGGGATTGACCCAGCCGTTGCAACACTTCCATATTTGGGAATGATTGTCGGTGTCCTTCTCGGTTGCAGTATCGTCATTGCCTTCGAGCCAAGATATAATCGCAAACTCAGGGAAAACAACGGTATACCGGTTCCAGAAGAGAGACTTGTCCCGATGATGGTTGGTGCTTGTCTTTTCCCTTGTGGTCTGTTCTGGTTCGCATGGACAGGAAACTATCCATCTATCAGTTGGGCCGCCCCAACCGTCAGTGGCATATTAACTGGCGCTGGTATCATGACCATCTTCCTTCAGGCTTTGAACTACCTTGTCGATTCATATTTGTTCGTGGCAGCCAGTGCCATCGCAGCCAATACCTTTTTGAGATCGTTCTTCGGTGCCGGTTTTCCTCTGTTTGCCACAGCAATGTTCCATAATCTTGGTGTGCAATGGGCTGGAAGTTTGTTGGGCTTCTTGTCTATCGCATTTTTACCAATTCCTTTCTTGTTCTACAAGTATGGAGAGAGATTGAGAAAAATGTCCCGTCATGCCCCAACAGATTTTGGTGTACCCAAGAGTCAGGCAAAGGACGAAGAGACTGGTACTGCAGCTACAACTGCAGCGCCTTCAATCGAGGAAGAGAAACAGGAGGCGTAATGTAATGTCATGTGTTATGATGATGGATACGCTTATATGTTGAAGGATGATTGATATGAGGGATACTTGTCTATGATTTCTTATCCATAGACTATTGTGCATTGTTGGATTTTGTTGGCGTCGTTATTATCAATACCCGGGGGAGAAGCGCTGCATTTTATTAGATAGAATAGTATGATTTTTAGTATAGCTTAGATATCTTAATTAATATATAAATAAGTTCTCAACTCACAGCTTTTTATATAATATGGTTGATGGTGAGACTGTGGAATGAAGAAAGTGTAAGCAAATGAAGAAATAGTTTGGGATCTTGCACGTGACAACTTCAAAATTCTTACCTCTCTCTGACTCTTATCAACTGTGGGATCCATTCTCTCGTCTTCACGTACTACTTTGCTCCGACGTTACATTTGGATTTGCGCCAGGCATACATACCTGTACCTCATGCATCATGCATATCGGAGTGGGACAATCTCGGCCATTGCACGCATTGTGTAGCTTCTTCATGTTGGACTATATATTGTCCAACTCCACACTCATCCTAAATTACGTGAAAGTCCTTGATTTTTGTTAACAAAATGCCATATCTTCAGGATTTTAGGTCTCTACTGGCCGGAATAGACTTACACTGGTTCATAATCATATCTTTCACGACAGGCATCATAATAAACAGATATATCGTATGGTCTCGCCTTCGCCATATTCCTGGACCACGATTTGCTTCATTTTCGAAAGTATGGATGTTACGGGCAGCATTATCTGGAAGAATTCCAGAAGTACTGAATGATGTCTGTGAAACATATGGTAGGTGTCCCTGACTTTGAGCTCAAATATATCATCCTCACTCAGATTTTAAGGTCCGTTGGCACGTATAGGGCCAAATGATCTTATTTGTAGTGATCCAGATGTCATTCGACGCATGAGTACCGCGAAGTTGGGATATCGAAGATCAAAGTTTTATAGCTCTTTCGCTTTCAATCCTGATCGAGACACCATGTTATCGACTACAGATGAGGAAATTCATACCCATTTGAAAACCAAAACCGCTGCGGGTGTAAGCTTTTACTTTCAAATTCCAACCGTGAGCAATTTTTTTAACTTATGTTGATTAGTATTCGGGCAAAGACGTTGAAAACCTAGAGGAATCTATTGATAGACAGCTCAATGCATTCATTGATTTGATAGAGAGAAAATATCTATCAACATCGATCAATTTCCGGCCTTTCGACTTTGCCCAAAAAGTGCAGTATTTTACACTAGATGCGATTACAGATGTAGCTTTTGGAAAGCCCTTCGGATGCATCAGTCAAGATGATGATATGTACGACTACATCAAAACGGTGGATCGATTACTACCCTCCGCCGTATTAGCAGGTATCATGCCGCCGTTGTTAACTCTGTCACGAAGTTTTCTTGTCAGGCCCTTTTTACCAACAGAGAAAGATAAACTTGGGTTTGGAAAAATGATCCAGTAGGCTGATAATTCATCTTCAAGGAAATAGCTAACTAGGAGCAGAGTTGCGAGGGACATTGTTGCGGAAAGATTTGGAGAATCTAAAAAGATTCGGAATGATATGCTTGGTTCTTTTATTTCACATGGTCTCACGCAAGAAGAGGCTAATTCGGAGGCATTACTTCAAGTGTTCGTTTTCACTGGTTTCTTCCCATTTATCAGAACTAACCAATAGACAAGGATCGCCGGTACAGACACAACGGCCACAGCAACTCGGGCTATGCTACTTCACATCACGACCTCACCAACTTGCTACACGGCCTTCCAAGCTGCTATAGACGAGGGTGTCAAAAATGGCAAAATATCTTCCCCAATTACTGACGCTGAAGCAAAAGAACTTCCCTACTTACAAGCAGTTATCAAGGAAGGACTCCGAATGTTTCCTGTTATTGCTGGTCTCCTCCCGAAAACCGTACCCGAGGGTGGCGATATCATCAGTGGTTTTGAAGTTCCAGGTGGAACAGATATTTCACTCTGTTTAATTGCCATCACACATTCAAAAGCTACTTTTGGACCAGATGCAGATATTTTCAGACCGGAAAGGTGGCTTGAAGTTGATGATAATGACAAGTTGAGAGAAATGAATATCACTGCCGATTTAGTCTTTGGTTCAGGGAAATGGTCATGTTCAGGAAAGAAAATAGCTATGATGGAAATGAGCAAGGTTCTTGTGGAAGTAAGTTTTTTCGACGGTAGATAATGTAAAAAACTAACAATAGGAAGTTGTTTAGGAGATTCGATATTTCCTTGGTAAACCCCACCAAGCCATGGAAATCATTCAGTGCTGGAGCATACATACAATCTGATCTTTTTGTGCGATTCGCGAAAAGAGAAAATTGAGAAAAGAAACTAGGGACATTCGTCCAGAGAGTTGGAACAATTTCGCTATCTGGCATGCGACAGGTTCAACATTTATACGCCAGGCGTAGTCAAAGATTTAGTGTATGTCTCAGGCAAGTGATCAATGATGTTTCAATTGCTCTTCCCAGCCAGAATCTTTCCACATCTATTCACTTCTACAGAACATTAGAGGCACCTGCTATGGCGTGCTATACTTTAACCAGCTCCGAAGTGGATTTAAGTCTTTTAAAGCATCACATTATTATCGTTTTGTTTTACCTCCATTGCGCACGCTCTTAGCAACCGTACTTTAAGCGATTCAAAAGTTCCAAGCAAGTCGGTGAATTATTTTCCATTCTACTGCTTCCATGATTCACATTTCTTGAATATACGAGAGTGATTCATAATAGTCAATCTGGTACTGTACTATACATCATTGTATTGTGTTAGTCACCTCGAGTCAAACAAAACTATTTTTTCACACCCACAACAAAAAGAAAACTAATCTTCAAAGTTGCCGAATAAATTTCCATCGTATTGAGTTTATCCATATTATCTAGCGCCGCACCGATTTAGAGGATAGTTCTGCTTTCTGATTTGTATTTTTAAAAGTCCTATGCCATTTTGCTATCATCCCACCTCGAAAGCGTTCTTTAGAATCCCACCATGCAACAGCCTCCACAATCAGCACACCTTCCCCTTCACGAAAAACAACGCACTTCATCCTTCAACTCTCTCTTCAACGTCACCCCCCTAAGTCCCCTCCGCAACTTCCTAGCCCGCGCCCCCAGCTCCACCATTTCCTCTCCACCTTCAACCCCCGCCCCCGCTCCCCGCATCTCACAAATCCATCCCGGCGAATACCACACCTACAAATCCATCGACAAACTCCTCTCAACCTTCACCTCGCGCTCCATCGCCCAGAAACGACATGCTAAAGCCGAGCTCCCCCCTCATCAAGAGGAAGATACATATCGCAGTATCCACTGCGGCGATCAAAATTGTTGCTTTCAATCCCCTTATTCATTTTATCGCGTGCGCTCAACTCCATCTCCTTCTAATACGCGATCCAAAACTCTTCTTGGTGGACAATCTCGCTCAAGGTCTGTCTCGAATCCGAATTTGAGACATGAGAGTTCGAAAGGTGGCGAAGATTTATCTCTGGCTCCGTCGCTTTCGTCTTTATCGACTCATCCTTTTCGCAGAGCGCTTACTATTACTGGGGGTTCTAGACGGACTTCTTCGCTGTTTTCTGGAAGTCCGCCGCCGGCGGGAAAATCTCTATCGCCTCTGTATGAATATCCTGAGCCTATTGGGCCGAGAAGCTCGAGTTGGATAGATAGAGACATGGGAATTGGGGTCAAGAGGTCGAAGAGTATGACTTGGGGACCTAGTGTGGGGATTAATCATCGTAAAGTCTCGAGGCAGTTTTATCGGCCAAGTGGTTTATCGCTATTTTCATGGACGGCAGAGGATGCCGAGTCATGCGAAATGAACGTAAAGGAAGGAAAGGTGAATAGTGGAGGAAGGGAGATTGCTTATGAATGGGACGGGGCGTTTGGATGGACGTGGGCTTGTAAAGAATGTGGGATAGAAAGATGTGTAAAATGTCCTAGGGAGGTGTTTGAACAGATTGTTGTCGAAGGAGAGACGCTTACTAATGAGGAAGGAGTTTTTAGTATCTGTACGCCATGCAAACATGGGTTTTGTCCAGGGACAAAAATGCGGTTGAGGATTAAGTGTAAGAGGTGTGGGGAGGTGGAATGTGAGGGGTGTAAAGATTTGGGTGACGAAGAGAGGTAAGGTGGTGGAATGGTTTATTGATTATCAATTGCAGAGAAAACTCATGAGTAACAATTATGGTAATGATTGAGATGGATGGATAGTATTGAATAAACATAGTGAAATTTAATATTCAATTGAACTCTTCGCTTTTGTGAATACGTGACTATTGCAAATCCCTAGCATACTACTGGATCTAAACCAGCGGGATGATATCACTAGTTATCTTGAAGTCTAAAGTGAACAGAAATAGAACCAGCTAAACCTTACAAGACGAGAACGTTTGAACATCTTCAAGCAAATAATGTAGCAAATTCACCATTCGAAATAATCTAAACGTTCATATCACTGATGATGATTAGGTAGAGATACTGAAGCTGAGGCGAACTGTCCTCAAATGACCCAAGCTGGATTTTGAATGTCATCGAAAGGGACTCGGTGAGCCAATAGAAATGGATGATCTTATACCGGTAAAAACTTCTACCAGCGCCTATTTCGAGAATGGGAATGAGTGACTTGAATAGCATACATCTAGCATGCTGCTGGACTTCTAGGTTTCCATCTCTTTTCGTCCATGCACTGCGCTCTCTCTGTTGATCACCGGCTCCATATATCGACCCTTTAAAGCTGTTCCACCATTTCGCTCGCCCTGAAATTTCCTAAGAAACTCCTGTTGCTGAAGATTTGAAGTAGGAATTTAAATGCATATGAAATTTGAAAATCCTAATAGTAGTCATGATAAAAATATGACAATTTGATTTGTGTATTTTTACATTGCTTGGGAGAGTAACTCGTGGAGACTGTCTTGTTGTATGATCTTGCCCAAAGATAGAGGAACCTAAAAGAGACGGAATGAATGAAAAATGAGCCGGAGAGAAGAGATGAGTACTTCGTAATTTATGAACGGAACTACCAAAATCGTTCCTGCCCTGACGTTTTATCGACCACATATAAAAGTATTTCCTGATTTTCTCTCCTCAGACTTCTTCAATTCAACCAAACAGAATAACTATAATTAGCCTTATTTCTAGTATATCTACAACCCCCGGTCAACTGAAAACTTATCCAGCAACTTCAAACATTACAATGGGCGATTCAGGGCTTCAGGACGACACTTGCAACGGTCTACCGGCACGAACGGACCAAAGTATACCAGGGAGTTATCCAGGTGGCCACCCTAAGATACAGGGCCTCAATAATGAGACGGCACATGCCGAAAGGGTATCAGTTTATACAGAGAATGGCTCCGCTCGATCGTTGCAGGATGGCAATAGCGAAGGGGCAGGAGGAGAAGGAAGCAAACGGAATCCAGAAGCTCTGGAACCGACTGCTAGAGAAACCCCACACATGTATGTGATAGTTATGGTTGGTGTGTAAGTGTTGCTAATAGTAATGAATTTAAAGGGACTATACGACTCTTCCTCGAGGTTGGGGCCCTAGATAGTAGGTTGAGAAATGGGTGAGACATTGACTGTGTAGGGCGTGTTTGGATAAATGAACAAAATCGTTTTCTTATATTGGATTCGACAGATGCTGCGACGCCGACATTTAATTTTGGAATGGGACTCGATGCACTCAACTAATTTACAGATCGGGCGGAATTTAAAATATTCCATTGAATCTTGGTAGTGTGAGGAGCAAGATAGCCTGAACCATCGTGTCAAGCTTTTGGGGTCTGGAATGTACTGCGTCCAGCATAGTCATCAATTAGAACTTTCTAATGATTGTCCACTTGCGGACGAGCAATGCTATGCTTTCCAACAATGGATGGAGTTGACGTTTCCATGCTGGAAAGTTTGCAGGAAATAGCCCTGGAAGAGTGTCCTACACGAGGAAGCAAGTAACAAAAATGGATTAAAACCCATGATGATGAATGGTATTTCCGGTGTATTAATATAAAAGAGGCCATTTCAGATAGTCCAATGCAAATTTCTTCACTTCCTTGAATAAGGCTCAGGAATGTAATGTGTTGAGATCGGAAAATCCTCCAAGTTGAAGAATGATCCGTGCATCATAGACATCCTCTCACGTGATCGAATACCTCAGGTTCTAATTCATTTGATTGCCCCAAGTTGACCAGAACAACGACAAACATCAATCCATCACAGCATCATGAATACTTAACAACTCTCTCTAAACTCTTCTTTTATTTCATCCCCATCCAATGGCTTCACAGGTAAGTCTCTCATTATCAGCGTGGGGCTGCTATGAAAGTAACCATCATATGGGGAAATCATGCTTCCTTATGGTAGTGAGAGTTCCTACTCCATTTCCATATATCTCTTCCAACCGCCCCTTCACATATCATATACACATGTATATATGATAACTATCACATTTCCTATCATTCTAACAAGTTTAAAAGTTGCCCAGTAAAGTATCGGTGGTGCTTTTCTCCTTCTTCTCTCCTCTTTGAACTTTCCCATCTTCCAGATTCACACAAGGCTCGCTTCGGCCACCAGTCATCATCAAGGATTCCAAAGCAAGCAAAGAACGGCTACATACCTTCTACCTTATTATTACTGTCACTTCTCAACTTAACGCGCCTTCGTTCTGCCAAACATCAACATACGAATTCACAATTTATAAAAACATCAAAATTAACAACCTCAACATCAACTTTTACCTTCATATTTAGCTTCGTTCTCAATATTTTACAATGGCCGGCGGAAAAGGAAAATCTTCTGGTGGAAAGTCATCTGGAGGCAAGGTCGGCGCAGATGGAAACAAGAAGCAACAAAGTCATTCAAGCAAAGCTGGTCTTCAGGTTAGTATTGCGAAACTTTGCATTTTATCTTTTCTTTTCGCCATCGAACTTGGTGGTCCGGCCCCGCGGAGAGACGGAAACCATCCAATTTTTTTCAGTATCTACACCCCACTAGATCGCGTCAATAATCCATCTGCGAATAATCCCTTGGAACGATTACGAACCATCGCGATACATACATCGATTTTGTCGAACATACCTTCCTTCTTATAACTTAGTCCTATGTCCAAAAGCTCGTTGGAAAGACATTTTCGACGCGCCATGAATATCAACAAGCCATGCATACGCGAGATAAATTTTCTCATCCTTGGAAAACTTCGATTTCGGATTACTTTATTTGTGTTTCGAATTGCGCATCAACCGTTATAATCACAACATACTGACAAATGCCAAATCCAGTTTCCTTGCGGTCGTGTCAAGCGTTTTTTGAAGAACAATACCCAAAATAAGATGCGCGTGGGAGCAAAGGCCGCAGTCTATGTCACGGCTGTTCTGGAATATCTTACTGCTGAAGTTCTTGAGCTCGCAGGAGTAAGTCTTATTATTACCCGACGATTGCCTACGAGGACATTCACTAACCATTGTAGAATGCTGCCAAGGATCTCAAAGTAAAGCGTATCACGCCCCGCCATCTACAACTTGCCATTCGTGGCGACGAAGAACTCGATACCCTCATTCGCGCGACCATCGCCTTCGGAGGGGTGCTACCACACATTAACCGCGCGTTACTTTTGAAGGTAGAGCAGAAGAAGAAGAAGACCGCCGAGTCCGCATGATTCTCCCAAACGGACACGTTCACGATTCATTTACGCACTTCAATGTTTTTGTGCTTTTTCCTTGCTTCTCTTTCTAAGGGTTCAGACTTTGATGGTGTCTTGGGGATATCTACTTTTTATTTGGTTTCATAATGGAATTGATTGCTTATCATGGTTCACACTACGAGATAGGATTACAACGGGTTATTATGTGTTGTTCCATGATTAAAGCACAATTCGGGTGCGAGTTTTTCTGTGGGTTGTTGTGGAATCACTTCAGGCCAATGTACCACTATCGATTTTGAATCAAATCGGATATTGCTTCAAGTTTACAGTTTGAATGGTGATGTTCAAAGTTAACATTATGCGATAATCTGATGAAGGTGGATGCCGGCCTAAATGCTTCGTGTTATACATTCCAGCAACTCGCAAAACACACTCTATCGAGAGAAAACACCCGACTCCAGATCCGTCAAGACTCCCCGAACGATATACAAGGACAATCAGAAGTAAAATTTACTGTCCATCCCACGAGGGAATTTCACTAACCTCATCCTCCTCATCACTATCCTCCACAGTATAAAACATCTTCAGCGGGCTACTAGGCGGACTCTCGATCTCCACACTTGCCCTCCGGCTAATACTTCCCTCTCGCTCTCTTATTCCCGATCCCTCCAAATCCCCATCCACCACTTCCCCCACCATCTTTCCATACTGCACCTCGGATAATCTTAATCCCGTGAGCTGCTCAATCTTCGCTATACTCTTCCGTTTCTTCACCCGTATAAATTCTCGCACATATCCCTTTTCATCTTCTTCCGTTTCTTCTTCTCCCAGGTTATCCATATCGGGAGGATTCAAATCGTCTAATGCTTCCGTGTTTGTTTCATCCCAATCTTCATGTCCTTCATCTTCACGTTCCTTTCCTTTCGGACTTGATGATCCCTTGCTGCCGTAGACTATATCCGCGAAAGCGGTATGACTCGTTAAAGGACTAACGATAAATTGCGCCTCGTGTTCTAATCCGCGTTTTTCGGCTTCAAGACTCTTGCGTCGTTCACGCTCGACTAGGATACTAAGATTGGGGGAGGAAATCACGGGGATGAGATTAGAAGAGCTGTGTGGTTCTTTGGATGCGCGAGTAGCTGGGGGTGTGGTAGCGGCTATATCGAAAATTAACTGTTGATCCTCGCGTTCATCATCTATGCGTTGACGTTCCTCGGGACTAATAGGAGAAATGGGAAAGATCAATTCGGGTTCGCTTTTCTTCCGCGTGCTGGATGGGACGGCAGATCGTAAATGCAGCGTTTGACACTCCGAGGGAAAGTCGCAGTCGCGGTAACAGTCTTTGCCGATTTTTAAGGGCGGGATGAAGTGTGGGTTGTGCTGGGCACGGGATTCGGATTTTAGGAGCGAGGTTTCCCGTCGCCACTGGTTGTAGTGTTCCCAGCCTGTGTAATCGAATTCGGCGCGGCAGCCGCGGGGTTGGCGACGGCGTTTCTTTTTCCTTTTGGAGGAGGGGTTTAGGGAGGCGAGGGAAT